TATATTAATTTATATTTATTTTATTTTATTGTGTGCTGGTTGAGCGGTGTGCCCGGCTGTGTGCTGCTTGTGTTTGGTTATGGGCTTGTGGTGTGTGTGCCTGGCTGGGTGTGTATGTGTTGTGTTACAGGTGGGAGTGAGTACATGTAGATATGTGTGGCTGGTTTGGGTCTGAATGTTTGGTTGAGCGTGTGCCTGTGTGGTCAGGCGTCTGACGTGTGAGGACATCCGCTTCTGTGTAGGTCTGGGCATCTGCTTGGTATATGTGTGGGCATCTGGTATGTAGAGCTCTTGGGCTGGGTACCTGGCCAGGGGGTGTGCGTCTGCTTGGCTGGAGGAGTGGAAGGGGTTTGGGGTGAGGTCATCCCTGGTGTCTCCAGCTTCTCCCCAAGGCTACAGACCTCTTGGCGTTCAGTACCTTATTCTCTTCCCAACAAAGCTGCACAGGTCCGTCCTGGGCACCTTCCCCTCTGCCAAGGATACCCTCAGGGCCTCAGGTGTCCAGCTTTATGTCCCAGGGAGGTAGGAGGCTGAGACATAGGTCAAACCCTGGCAGGGTTCAAACAAATCCAATTCAGTTCAGCTTAGCAACATCTTGCAGAGGGCTCCTCTGGTCTTGCCTTTTGCTGGGCCTTGGAGACAGATTCATAATCAAGATGAATCTGACATCTGACTTCAACTTGCATTAAAGATGCTCCCGGTCTGAGTGTAGCATGGTGGGAACAGAGCTATGCAAACTGTGATGGGAGGCAGCTCAGCTGAGTGTGGCGAGGGCCAAATGCCCGCAGAACTCTGGGACCCGGCAGGAAGGGCTTTGGTCCATCTGGAGAGGGTTGGGTGGGGAAGCCTTCATGGAGAGGTGGTGTTGGAGCTGAGCCTTACAGGATGTGTAGGAGTTTTCCAAAAGGAGGAAGGAAGAGGAAAGACAGTACCGGAGAGAGAAGAGCCTGAGATAAGGCAGTGTTTCTGTAGAGCGCATAGAAAATAATACTCAGAGTCCACTGGGGTAAATGGACAGGCTGCTCATGGCTGAAGGCTGCTGACTAGGAAGCTCTGGTCACCTCAGGAGGACATGAGCCCCCCTGACGGCTGAAGGTTTTGATGATATTAAACATGTTTCACAACTGCTTTGGAAATATTAATAATACATCAATTAACTAACAACTTTAAAATATATTTTCTTTGATTTTTAAACCACGATAGGAGGCAGCACCAGTGAGTGCGGAGAAGGCCAGATGGGGCTGTGGAGCCGTGGGACTTGGCAGGAGGGGGATTTGTTCTAAACCAAAGTATATGTTAAAATGACTTGAAAGTGAAATAAGTTGAGGCTCAGTTCTATCAACTTATCCTAATAGTTTCCAAGTGATCTGTTAATTTATAGAAAACTTGTGGGGATCTTTTGATGTGGCTCACATCTTTGGAAGATTTCCCTATCTTTCAAAGCTCTCCCAATAAACTGAGAGTCATTAGGTGACTTGTAGTCTCATTAAATAGAGACTTTCTGTCGACATCATGGATGTCACTCCTTGTATCGAGTCCTTGCTTGGCTTCTGCCAAAACTGTAGCAATTATACTCACAGTCCTCTAGCTGTTCTAATGCTGAGATTCTATTAATCAAGCATCTCTGTTGTCGGCTAAGTCATAAACATTGTTATTAGAATGCCATCATAAGGGACGCCTGGGTGGCTCAGTCGGTTAAGCGTCTGCCTTTGGCTCAGGTCATGATCCCAGGGTCCTGGGATCGAGCCCCGCATCGGGCTCCTTGCTCAGCAGGGAGCCTGCTTCTCCCTCTGCCTGCCACTCCCCCTGCTTGTGCTCTTGCTCTCTCTCTTTCTCTCACTCTCTCTCTGGAAATAAATAAATAAAATCTTAAAAAAATAAATAGTCTATCTTAAGAAAAAAAAAAGAGTCGTCCAACTGACTGCACCACCCAGGTGCCCCTGATGCATCTATTTTTTAAAAAACTCCTTTGTGCCTTAACATCCTCATCTCTACAATGGGGTGATGATTATAATGATAGTAGTCGAGTGAGTTCATAATGTTTACAGTGGTGCCTGGTACACAGCAAGAACTACCTAAGTGAGAGCTTTCACTTTATTTTTTTATTTTTATTTTTTATTAACATATAATGTATTATTTGTTTCAGGGGTAAGCTCTGTGATTCATCAGTCTTACACGATTCACTAGCTCTCACTGTAGTAATAATAAAACTAATGTTATCCTTGCTGGGCGGGTGTTTAGTGAGTTTCGATGAATTTGTTCTATTACGGAAGGGACACTAACTGGGTTGGTGGCTGTATTACTGGGCCCTTGGCAGCCCCGCCCATCCCACCAAGTCACTGGAGTGCCTGCCATGCCAGCAGAGGGGCAGTCCCAGCAGCCGCCTCCAGTGGCCATTAACTCCCTCTGCTTGCTCTCCCCACCTCTCCCCAGCTCCCTGAGAGGCTCCCATTTTTACAAGTGGCCATGTGAGGACAACTGCAGGGGAGCGGTAACCTCAGGGTCCCAGATGGACACTGGGCACCTGCCCAGAGGGGTGTCATCTCTCCAGGTAGATATGTAGGAATTGGGGGCTGACATGTAGTCTTGATGGGTGCCTGTGGGTCAGCGTGTGCTGGGATGGTCCCTGGAGGGTCCTACTGGGGCTCCTTAGGGCTGGGGGGAGCAGGGCAAGGGATGAGCTCAAGCTGGCTCTTCAGAGTCCTTGAGGGAATCAGGGGCTGTGCCTAGAGGGTCCCTGCTGGGCCGGGCATTAACCTTTTACCTGCTGGACTGTGAAGAGAGGGCAGAGTCCCATGGCAGGCGCTAGGGCAGCTGGGGGTGGTGGGAAACTTGTGGGAGTGGCTTTTTGCTAAGTGACTCAGAAGGATTTCCTTTTAGCCACAATGCAGCCATTGAGGTGCATTCTAGCCAGTTGCCCACTCTATTCTAGAGGGATCTGTGTCTGGGCCCTTCTGAAAGTTCTTGTGGCATACAGGTGGGGGAGTTCTGAGCTCAGGCACTAAGATGTCCTTCCCCAGGTCAGATCACCAGGAGTGGGAAGGCTGGATAGGAAGGAAAGTTGGGATGTCGGGGTGCCCCCCTGAAGGCAAACCCTACAGAGATGAACCTCACTTCCATAACCCCTGAGTCCCAGAACGTGCAGATAGAGTCACGCCCACTGCCGTTGTGCCCATTCTGGGTAGCAACATGAGGGGGCAGGCCCTCCTCTGTGCCCAGGCTGGGCACTGGGGAGGCAGAGACAGAGGGAACATCCAGGACTTTCATGCCAACCTGGAGACCGATCAGGAAATGTTCTTCATGTTAAGGATGAGTCCAGGAGCGTGTGCTGAGCACATGGATGGGTGTGCAACTGCGTATCCGGTGGCGTGTGAGGAGGTGATGTTGAGTATGTGCGAGGGGACTAGAGCGAATCAGTCATTGACCTCTGCCCTCCCATCTCCACAGGAACCCTCCCTGAACCCCAAGGCCATCCTGGAGCTGCCCCTGGAGAGTCTGGCCCAGAAGCTGCAGGATGAAGAGCTCAGTCTGGAGAGTGTCCTCTGTAGCTACTTAGAGGAGGTGGGGGTCGGGTCAGGAGTGGGGTGGGGGCTGTCACCTGTGTCTTCCTCACAGGACGTGGGGGCCAGCGTAACATCACGGCACCACAGCTGGCTTGGGAGGGGGTGCATGCCACAGTCATGCTCTGAGTCAGGGTGCCGGGTGACTGAGTACCCCATGTCTGGCTTCAACCTGAGCCCCCTTATCTGGTCTCCCTCAATGTTGCTCAGGCCCTGAAGGTACATAAGAAGGTAAACTGCCGGGCGCCTGGGTGGCTCAGTTGGTTAAGCGACTGCCTTCGGCTCAGGTCATGATCCTGGAGTCCCTGGATCAAGTCCCGCATCGGGCTCCCTGCTCGGCAGGGAGTCTGCTTCTCCCTCTGACCCTCCCCCCTCTCATGTGCTCTCTCTCAAATAAATAAATAAAATCTTTAAAAAATAAATAAATAAATAAATAAATAAATAAATAAAGAAGGTAAACTGCCTGACGGATTTCCTGGGCGAGTGTGAGGAGAAACCGCAGGCATTGAAGAAGCTCAAGAAGACTGAGAGAGGCCTTCTCTATGGGGTTCCCATCAGCCTCAAGGACACCTATGACTGCAAGGTGGGCCGGGTTCACATGCGTACACATATGTGTGTGTGCCCATACGTCACTGAGCCTGTGAGCGTCTGAGTGTGTGACACTGGGCGAGTTATGTAATCAAGGATGCACAACTAGAAAGTGGCAGCTAGGATCTGAACCCAGTAGTCCCGCTCTGACCCACCGTGGTCTTCTGCCACTTGGGTGAATTCTCCTACGGGTGCAGCACATGTGTCTCAGAGGCGTGGAGTGGGAGCAGAGTGAGGAGGAGAGTCTGTCCACTGGGCGGGTGCATCCTGACCCCTATGGGCTGGAGTTAATGTCACCTCCTTGCAGGGCCATGACTCTACGTGTGGCCTGGCCCAGTTCCTGGAGAAGCCTGCGGCCAAGGATGGGGTCATTGTGAAAGCGCTCAAGGCTCAGGGAGCTATTCCCTTGGTTAAGACCAACATCCCCCAGACACTGCTCAGGTCTCTGAAATGGGTAGGCGGGGCTGGGTTTGGAGGTGGGCCCAGGACTGACAGCAACTTAAAGTCCTGATTCGGGGCAGAGGGTGAGGTGGGGGCCACTCAAGCAGACCGTGAGGACCGAGGTTCTTGCGCAAGTCTTTCCTGCCCCCTGAGCCTCGGTTTCCTCATCCTATAATGTGTGGGTGGACTTCATAGTCTCTACAGGCCCTCAGGCTCTGAGGTTCTGAAGAGTTTCATCTCTGTGTTTACCCCAGCTTTTCTCTCCTCTCCCGTAGCATTTAGCGTACCTACTCTTGTGAGGAACCTGTTCCCAATTCTGACAGCAGGGCTGGGGGCTCCTGTCCTTGAGTTAGGAGTTGTGGTTGGTGTCCACCCTTGGTCTTCCTTGTGGCAGTGGGCCCTCACCTCAGCTGTAAAGGAGCCTAGGAGGGCTCAGCCCTGGCGAGGAGCATGGGAGCCAAAGCGGGCCCGGGGTCGACTCCTGAGGGGGTCAGTCTCTACACGGGGAGGGACGTTTCCCCAGTTAAACTTTCACCTCCCAGCCCCTTTTCTTCTGCTTCCGTCAGCTTTTATTGCAGCAACCCCATCTATGGACGGACCCTGAACCCCCTGAACTTAAAGAAGACACCTGGGGGTTCCTCAGGGAGTGAGGGAGTCATGCTGGCACAAGGGGGTTTCATCCTGGGCATGGGGTCCAACATTGCTGGCAGCATCCGCATACCAGCCAGCTTTTGTGGGGTCTGTGGCTTCCGGACCACGGGATACCGCCTCAGGTACTTGGTGCTGGTGATGGGGGGAGGGGGGGCTCAGCCCAGCCTAGGGGAACAGAAGTCTGGGGGAGTAGAGGGGCCTGCTTGGCACATCAACTCTTATCCACTCACCTCAGTACTAGGGGAAGTGGCTAAAGGTAGGAGGGCTTCAAATAACTCCTGCTTCAGCCCCAGATCAGCACACCATGTCTGATATAGGTGGCAGTAGAAAAGACCTTCCACTCATTCATTAATTCATTTGTTCATTAATTCATTTGTCTTTACATCTACCCATCTACCTACCTGTTCCCTTAGTCACTCATTGGTCCATCCATTTTCCCATCTATCCATCCTTTGCCTATTCATCCACCTATGCAATCATAATCCCAGTTTCTATCCATCAGTCAGTTTCACTATTCATCCACCATTTAATTTATCTAACAAATATTTATTGAGTGTTTACTTTGTGACTGACACTGTACTAGGTACTTGGGATAAATCGGCAAACAGAAGGACAGATATCCCAGCCCTTGACAAATTTATACACATTCTTCCTTCCATTCGTTAATTCATTCACTCATCCATTTATCTCCCCATCCATCCACTGCCTCTGTTCCTTCATCCACCCACCTTTCAGCCTCCCCTGCCCCTGCCGAGTACCTACACTGTGGTGGCCCTTGTGCTGGGGACACAGAACACTCTTGGACCCAGTCACTGCCCTTGTAGTGCTATTAGACATGCAAATGGCTGAGTCAGAAAGTGATGGGGCTCTAAGAGAGGGTCAAAGGCTTGTGGGAATTCACAGGATGAAGCTGACCTTTTCTTCAACAGAGATTTATTAAAAGCCTAGACTTTAAACTTTCAGAAGCAGGGCAAGGGAAGGGAAGGCTTCCCGGAAGAGGCAGAATCTGAGCTTGGCTTTGAAGGATGGATATGCAGAGATGGCGTAGAGTCTAGAAGGCTGTAAACTGTGAGCAACTTACTTTGCCTGGAGTAATACGTGTGTGTGGAAGGTCTAGAAGGGTACGCTGTGGAAGGAGCTGACACTCCAGAGGCTTGAAGGCAGTCAAAGAGATCAGACTTAATGCTGTGGGCAGTAGGGGTCACGGCAGGGTTGAAGCAGCTCCTCTTCCTGGGTGCTGGGTCCTGGGGGAGTGCTTGGCTGGCTGCTAAAGCCTTGGGTCTCAGGCCAGTCCCTTCAAGTGCTGAGCAGGACTCTGGGTGGGCGGGGTTTTGCAGCTACTCTGGAATCGCCTCTGCTGTCAAAGGCAAGAAATCAGGTAAACTGGCTGTGCCCGTGGCCACACCCATTCAAAGATAACCTGTCAGCCTTCCTCCCAAGGACATTTCACTCAGCCCCTATCTCAGACAGATTAGCCCGACTGGTGATAAAGCAATCTGAAGGGATAGCATGGCTCCCACCCGGCCTCCCCCAAGTCCAGTGAGAAGTGCTTCCTACTATCTAGCTTTAGTCTCTCCTACTTGTCTCTTGTTGTTCTGCCCCAGCTAAGAGTCTCCTGTCAGGCACCGAGCTGCTTTGGCTGGTGTGCCAACTCTGCCTGTCCCCAACCCCTGACCCAGGTTGGCCCCAGGACCCTTTGGCCCTGATCATGGTCTTGGGCCCCACCCTCTGAGGCCAGGCCGTGGGGGTCCCCAGAGCGGAAAGGATGAGAGGAATCTGCCTCCCTTCTGTTCAGTGACTACAGTGGCTGGCCCCATGGCCCGGGATGTGGAGAGCCTGGTGCTGTGTATGCGAGCCCTGCTAAGTGAAGACATGCACCGATTGGACCCCACTGTGCCTTTCATGCCCTTCAGGGAGGAGGTGAGCTGGGTTGGGGAGCAGGCCTGGAGGACTCCCACCTCTCCCCTCCTTTCTTTCCTCATTGACATGTCTACCATCTGGTCAGACCGCTTTTCCCAGCCCAGGGTACAGTGACCAAGAAGCCCACATGTTCAGTCATATTCACCTCCCATCTCTGCTGGACACCAGCTGCTTTGGCCTCTCAGCTGCTTGGACCCATAGCTAATACTGCCCCCAGAGAGGGACTCCATCGTCATAGACCCAACACACACACAGACATAACACTCAGCAGGTATGGTTTAGAGAGTCTCCCCATCCATCCACTCATCTAGCCACTATCTGGTTAAGCTGGGCTTCCAGTCCTCTAGGTAACCTCAGCCAAGTCACATCTCTTTTTAGGCCCCAGTCTCCCCAGTGGTATAATAAAGAGGTTGGACCAGAAGATTGCTCCAGGCCCTGCCAGCTTTGGCAGGCTTCATTTATTCATTAGTTTATTCAACAACATTTATTAGTACCTACTATGTGCAGGCTCTTTGTAGTTCATCCTAACACTCACTCTATAGAATGAGCATTGTGCTTCTCATTTACAGGCAAGGAAACTGAGGGGAAATGAAGTGACTTGCCTATGATCACATAGCTAGTAACGGGCAGAGCTGGGCTTTGAACCCAGCCCTATCTGCTCTAGAACCCTCTCCACAGGGAGAGTCTCTGTCTACCATTCAGTCAATGTCTACTCATCTGATCTCTACACACATCCTAATGCAATCAACCTGTGATCATTTTCTGTCACCCATTATTTGCCTCTACTAATTTCTCCATCTCCATCCTCTCCTGGCTGTTTTTTAGCGTAAGGGTCTTTGTGTCTATTCACCTACTTACTTACCTGCCCCTCCTCAATTCCAACCACCCATTCTTCCACCCACCCATCTATCCATCTGATCCTCTGCCCACCCACCCATTCACCATCTCATACATATGCCCATCCACTCATTCATGAATCTATCTACCATCTATCTGCCTATCTACCTCATCCACTCAATCATGTCCCCATCCATTTGCCCTTCCAGGGGTTTCTCCAGAGGACCTAGAGCCTGGAAAGTATACAGAGAGGCCCCAAGGGGGTCTTAGGGAGTTTCTGTAGATTCCCCTGGGTTGAAGACAGCCGTGGCCCAAGGTCCCAGTCTGGCTCTTGAAGAGGCCTCAGTCTCTTCTGAGACCCACCCAGCTCTTCTTGCCCACAGGTATACTCCAGTAACCAGCCCCTTCGAATTGGCTACTGTGAATCAGATGGCTTCACCCAGCCAACTCCTAGCATGGCCAGGGCCATGAGGCTCACCTCCAGGCTGCTCCAGGATGCAGGACATCAGGTAGGCTTGCATAGCCTGGATTGGAAGGGAAGCCAGACTTGTGAGGATGCTGGGCTAGGCCATTCTTGGAGAGAAAAGAAGTTATATCTGAGTCTGAGCTGCTAACATCACTGTGTTTCCCCTAAGTTTCCTGGAGAAAACTGATGGACTGCAGGTGGGGGCAGGGTGGGCCCACCCTGTGAGGAAGGCATCAAGATTTTGCAGTTTCCCCCTTCAGGGATGGTGACTCAGGGACTCACTCCCATAATTCTTATAGCCTGGGTTTCTGTTGTGTCTATCAAATGGCTGTGAGGAGATCCCTGTCCTCAAAATCCCCTTCCTCTCCCACCCCCAACCGCTGCCTCCCACACCCATTGGCTTGTCCTGGTCCTGACTCCCCTTTGAGAATTGCTGGTTGGCGACACATGGACCTATGTAATCTTGGACCAGTCTCATAACCCCCCTGAGCCTCAGTTTTCTACCACATGGGGCGGCTGTGAAGGTTAAATGAGCTCCCATATGTGAAACACATGGCCTGGGGCAGGATCACAGTGAAGCAGGCAGGAAATGAGGGTTGCTTGAATGCCATGGCGTCTCCGTGGGGGGTGAGGGAGTGTCATGGCAGCGGAGGGGCTCAGGTGGATGGAGACCGGTGGTGATGTGCTATCCCCTCTTTAAATCCTGAGGGATGCAGACAATCCCGGGCGGGGTGGGAAGCGCTCCAGGCCCTGACTCAGCCTCTGTCTCCCAGGTCATCCCCTTCTCCATCCCCCGTGTAGAGTATGCTGTCGAACACCTGTTCGTGGGAGGTCTGTTTGCCGATGGAGGGGCCACCCTTCTGGAGAAGATGTACGTTTGTCAGGACTCAGATGTAGGGCATGGGGCTGGGGACAGGGCTGGTGGTGACCTGAGCCCTAGGAAGGGACTGTGTGGGCCTGGGCTGGTGGGATGCCTCTGGTTAATTGTGTGACCTTAAACAGCAAGTCAGCAACCCAGGCCCCGTCTTCAGGATGTGCGTGTTCCAGGGGTGGTGCTGGTGGGAACAGAAGTGTTTCTTTGGGTCTCACCTCCTTCCATGGCTTCCCTCTGGAGTGGGAGTTGGGTGGGGATGAGAGCCAGTCGATGGCTGAAATGCTGTGACTGACCGGATACGCGTCTGTGGTTCCTCAGTGAGGGGGACATTGTGGACCTTTGCATAAAGACAATGATCAATACGCTCCGCCTGCCAGACCCTCTCAAGTGTTTCTCAGCCTATATCCTGAAGTACATAGTGAGTGTGGGCCGAAGGTGGGGGAGGCATTCAGGAGGGGAGAAGCCCACAGGAGAGAAGGACTCAGAATGGGGCCCAGAGAGTAGTGGGGGCTCAGAGAAGAGGAACTGAAAAGGCTAATGGGGGCCAAAAGAGAGCGGTGCTTTTAGGGAGAGGGGTGCATCTCAGAAAGAGGAAGGGGTTTTAGAGAGGGGGTGGGGGCCTAGAGGGGGCTAAAGGCTTTTGGAGGAGTAGAAGCTTCTGCAGAGTTGCTTTTTCTGGACCCCAATTCTGGGCAGACTGGTGTTGCCCTGTGGTTTCTGAGTGGGTCTCTCCTTCTCTCCCCATCTCTAGGATCCCCGACCTAGCCAGAAGTTGAAAGAGATTCGTGGAATGGGGTGAGTGCTAGTCTCCTCAGGTGAAGCTCACAGGCATCTTCCATGGGGTGGGGGGAATTAAGTAAGGGCCATGTGGCTAGAGTTGGCATCCACTGGGGGCAAGGGCTGTTTAGACTTTGGGATCTAATTAGGTTTTTAGGGTTATATCTGACACTGGCTAAATTTAGGCTTTTGAGTGGGGTTGAGATTGGGGCTACTTTGGGGCTGGGGTTTGATTTGGAGTTAAGCTCTGAGCTCAGGCTAGAATTAGCTTAGGCTGGGGTAAAGTTTGGGCTTAAGTTGAGATTGGGTTTGGGTTTGGGTTGGGGTTAAGGTTGGAATTGGGGCTGGAGTAGCCTGAGGGCTGACTGGGGGCCTCAGGTTAGGGGAAGAACCTGTAGCTTTGGGGGGAGCCTGTGAGTCCCTGTGGCTGGTGGTGGTGGTGGGGGGGGCATTGACCAGAGAGTGTGGACTCTTGGGAGCACTGGACAGGCAAGGTGTTTTGGTCAGTGAACAAGACACAGGGTCATTCCCAGCCCATCAGCTGATTTGCAGCCTGCATGGAGACGAGGCTCTAGCTCTTGGCTGTAATGTCCCAATTTGTCTAAAAGGGAATCCTCCCATGCTGACCTTTGGACTTCCGTGTCTTATTTATTCCCCCAGGACTCCCAAAAAACTGTGGGAACATCACACAGCAGTGGAGGTGATGTGTGCCTGAAGAGACCTCAAGGGACTGCTGGAGCGGGGGCAGCAGAGACCTGGGTGGTGACAAGAGTGGCCAGATTGGGGGTGGGCTACACCTGGATGGGGAGGCTTGGGGACATGGGAGGTTAATTTAGTCCATCTCTTTGGGGCCAGGATGATAACGTTGTTCCCAAATAATTGCAGCCCGAGACTCCCCTTCCCATCCCTTCACCTCAGCCCCTGGGAAGGCCCTGACCCCCTCCTCCCGCCCCCCAGATATCTTAGGGTGCATCTCACAGCCTGGGAATTCTTCCTGATGTTGAATGCCACTGGGCTGGGCAGCACCTGACCTTGTCTTGCAAACAGTGACTTCTGCTGGTCCCACCCCTCACTGTCCCTGCAGGAGTATCAGCAAGAGTTCATAGCCAAGTGGAGGTGCTTGGACCTGGATATTCTGCTGACACGAGCGCTGACCCCTGCCTTCTCTACAGGCCATTCTAGCATGGCATTAGGTGAGATGAATCTGGGTCCTGATGGGGTTGAGACCCAGAGCCTAGGGCTTCAGAGTCCTGCCACAGCTTCTGTGGTCTTGACCTCTGTCACCATTCACGATTAAAAAAAAAAAAAAATTCTTAAATTGAGGTAAAATTCAGATAACATAAAGTCACCATTTTAAAGTGTACAATTCCGTGGTTTCGAATGTATTTAGAATGCTGTGCAACTACTACCGCTATCTAATTCCAGAACATTTCCGTTATCTTGAAAAGAAACCCTGTACCCGTGAGCGGACACTCCCAATTTCCATTCACTTTTTTTTTTTTTAAGATTTTATTTATTCTTTTGAGACACAGAGACACAGAGAGAGAGAGCATGAGCAGGGAGAGAGGCAGTGGGAGAGGGAGAAGCAGGCTCCCCGCTGAGCCAGGAGCCCGATGCCGGGAGGGATCCCAGGATGCTGGGATCATGACCTGAGTCGAAGGCAGACGCCCAACCATCTGAGCCACCCAGGTGCCCCTCCATTCACTTTTAAAATGAATTTTATTGAGGGGCACCTGACTGGCTCAGTCAGTAGAGCATGGGATGCTGGATCTTAGGGTCATGAGTTCAAGCCCCCCTGTTGGGCGTAGAGCTTACTTAAAAAAGAAAAAAAAAAGAAAGGAAAAAAACGAACTTTACTGAAATATAATTCACATGCAGTGAAGCCCACCGACTTTCAGAGTGTAATTTGATAAATTTTAACAAATGCATATAGCTGTATAACTACCACCATAATAAAAATATAGACTATTTTTTATCATCCACCACATTTCCCTGATGGCCCTTTGCAGTTCACCCTATCCTTGCAAACTGCAACCACTGAGCCGCTTTCTGTCACTATAGTTTTGCTTTTTCTGGGATTTCATATAAATGGAATCAGAAGGAAGGAGGCTTTTGGGTCTGGCTTCTTTCACTTAGCGTATGCATTCACCCTTAACGGGCTTCCTGCTGCCCCACTTTAAAAGGTAGCTTTGGGGCGCCTGGGTGGCTCAGTTGGTTAAGCGACTGCCTTCGGCTCAGGTCATGATCCTGTAGTCCCGGGATCGAGTCCCGCATCGGGCTCCCTGCTCGGCGGGGAGTCTGCTTCTCCCTCTGACCCTCCCGACACTCCCCCCTCATGTGCTCTCTCTCTCTCAGTGTCTCTCTCTCAAATAAATAAATAAAATCTTTAAAAAAAAAAAAAAAGGTGGCTTTGGCCTAGCCCCCCTGAAGCGAAGCCTCGGCACAAGGCAGTTTCTGGGCCAATGCTGGGGCCCCTGCCCAGCTCAGGTTCAGGCCTCAGCGGTGTTATCAGTGCAGAATGAAAACCCACCTCAAGCCTGGACTCCTCTTCCCTGGGCCCCCCCACAGTGGCTGCCCAAAAGCACATCCCACACCCGGCCCTGCATCCATGTCCTCTGCTGACATCACTGCCCCCTCTTTGTCACTCATTCCCTGCAAACAGGTGGCTGCTGCAGGGGAGCTGCCTTTTAACTCAGGGTTGCCCTCCCTGCACGCTTCAGCCATCCTCAGCCGGGTGGTCTGTGAAAACCCAGCTAACTTGGCAACCACCTCGGTTTCCTCATTATACACAGGGAAGAGCCAAGTCCGCCTCACAGGGGTGGAGAGGACTCAAGGAATCAGGAACGGAGAGAGGCCAGCACAGTGCCTGGCACAGAGGAAGGCTTCAAGTGCATCCATCCTCTCCTTCCCTCCACTGTGGGGCGGGCAGGAAGCCGTGGTCAGGTGATTTCCTGGCCCCAGACGGCGAACGTTGCAAGCCCAGAGGGCTGCAGTTCCGAGAAGGACCCCGAGGGGGCGCTCCCCCAACACTCTTCCCCACCTGTCTTTCGTCCCCTGACCTGGGCTGGCAGGGATCTTCCTACAGACGTCGCCTCCTCCTGGAGCCTGTACAATGTCCTGAACTTGCCCGCTGGCATGGTGCCGGTCACCGCGGTGACGCTGCAGGACGAGGAGGAACTGGCCTTCTACAAGGGATACTACGGAGACAGTTCTGACAAATCTTTCTGGGAGGTTAGTTTCCCTCTCCATACCTCTCCCCCAGGGGCACAAGCCAGGACTGAGTCTTGCCTCCATCCCAGTCCGAGCGAGTGGGAGTGGGGTGGGGCCAGTCATTCCTACTGTTTATCCTTTATCACTTCTGCTGCAGTTTCACCCCATCTCTGAGGACACACCCTCTGAGCTCCAAGTCAGCCTCTGTCCTTGTCCAGGGAGGATACTTTACAAAACCACGGGCTTTTTTTTTTTTTTTTTTTTAAAGATTTTATTTATTTATTTGACAGAGAGAGAGAGACAGTGAGAGAGGGAACACAAGCAGAGGGAGTAGGAGAGGGAGAAGCAGGCTCTCCGCTGAGCAGGGAGCCCGATGCGGGGCTCGATCCCAGGACCCTGAGATCATGACCTGAGCCAAAGGCAGACACTCAACGACTGAGCCACCCAGGCGCCCCAAACCACGGGCTTCTTGACACTTCCGTAGGGAAAGTTGACCCCAGAGGCAGGAAGAGTGGAGCAAATGCTGCTGGTTAGGAGCTTACCAGGGAACTGGACTGGACGCTCCTCCTCTCTGAGCCTCAACGTCTTTGCCAGGAAAATGGGAATTAAAATATCTACCCTGCAGGGTTGTCCTAAAGGTTCAATGGAAAAACAGTGAAGCAATCAGTATAAGGCTTTGTATATAGGAAGTGTTCAATAAATGCTACTATTACTAATTCAGAGGTGGCTTCACAAAAGGAAATATTTCCATGTGCATATTTAATGCATGATCTAAAATAACAATCCTGTCTTGGGTGACAGAGAGAAAGAGAGGGGGAGAGAGACTGACTCTGAAAAGTAGGTATGTGTCTGAGTCAGACATTAAGTAACTTACTTTTCTGGAAATTGATTTTAGTGCTAGAGTTACCCAGTGGAACTGCTGACCTGAATTCTGAGAAAATAATAATAATGACACTATCTAATGTGTCCTGAGCTCTTACTCTGTTCCAGGAACTGTTTAAAAGTGCTGTATATATATTAAATCATTAAATCCCCTAACTGTCCTGGGAGGTTTTACGAAGTTGGCAATGGGGGCGCACATAGGTTAAGAGGCTTGACCCCTGTCGCCACGCCACGCAGGCAGGTGAAGCGGGGGGAGCCCGGACTTGAAGCCAGTTGACTTGACTCGTGACAGAGACAGATAAGGGCTTGTATCTTATCATCATAAAACAATGGAAACATGTTTGAATGCCTCTAAGTATGTTTGGATTTCATGGCAGACACTCAGGTTCAGTCCCCATGTTCCCGAATCTGCGTTTGGGGTCAAGGTACCTCTTTCAGTGCAGAAGTATGACCGGGCTCTGGATCAGGGATTTGCACATTCTTCTTTCCTTTGCTGAGAACATTGGGTGGATACTTGGTTTTTTTTATTTCATGATTGCCGTCAGCTGTCTGCACAGGGACCAAGTTTTGCATCTTAACCCTGGAGAACTAGAGACAGATAAAGTCAGAACAGTTTTTCCAGGTTTCCCTGAGAGCTGAGGAAGCCTGGGACTCTGAGATCCAGGACATCTCTACCTTAATGTAGATTGGGGATGAGATGTTTGGACTAATGCAGATCGGTGGTGAGGGAGGCTGGGCACGGGGCCTCTGAGCGGAGAGCAGGCTCTAAGCCCACCCACCTTCTCTCTGGGCAGGCGGTACAAGGATCCGTGGGACTTCCTGTGGCTGTGCAGTGCGTTGCTCTGCCGTGGGAGGAGGAGCTGTGTCTCCGGTTCATGAAGGAGGCGGAGACCTTGGCCAAGAACCACAGGGGACCTGAGTGATTTGGTCACTCCTCCTGGAGGCCTTCCTACATCCTCATCCAAGTCTGCTCCTGATGCCTCTTCTCATGAATACTATATCTGACTCATGTTTCCTCTTCCCAGAAGCCCACCAGATTCCTTTTCTTTGTTGTCCTTCTGCATGGTTACTCAATGCACGGACTCCTCAGATTGGCTCAAGATGGGGCACAGGGTGAAGGGCTCAATAAACATTTCGGGCTGGCTGGCCTTGTGATCTCTGGTCTAGGTGGGGCTGTAGCCCCTGGTGGCCTTCTGCCTCCCACTACTCTCCTCCAGCTCAGTCCCCCAGATGATATCCCAGATCGCAGCAGAGGGGAAAGAGCCCCAGACAGAGAGGCTGGTGACCGGGGTCCAAGTCCTGGCTCTGCCAGTGGCTTGCTGTGTAATGCTGGGCAAAATACTTCCCCTTTCTGGACTTCGGGTTTCTCATCTACAAATCGAAGGGGTTAGATCTGATGAGGTCCATGGTACCTGTCAACGTGACTATTCTGTGACCTGTGACTTCTAGGCACTTCCTTGATCAAGAACTTGCCATGACTTCCACTGCTGTCTAGAGAAAGTTCCAAAGAGCAGGCCCAAGAGAGTGAAACCCAGTCAGAACTGATCCTAGGTTGGGACCCAGACCCAAGCTCACAGTCCAGTGCTTAGCCTGCAAAGCGCCAGTTTCTTGGCTTGACACTCAGCAGCTCCCAAGATCCTCCACAGCGTCCACCACAGCACAGCATCCCTTTCTTCCCTCTACCCGGAGCCTTCTTGTCACCACAAGCACACTTCGCACTTCTGCCTTTGTACCTGTCACACCGTTCCCTCCACCCAAACACCTTCACTGTCTTCTTTGTCCTTCAAGCCCTGAGTCAAATGCCACTTCCTTCAGGAAGCCTTCTTTGATCCCCCCCCAATTCTCCCATGACTGTCCTTTCATCTGAACTCTCTTGAGGTCCTTCCCCGTTAAAGCTTACCCTTTCTGTATCTCACTCCTCTTTGCAGTCCTACTTCCAGCCAGCTCGGCAAACTAATGGACTCATTCCTCCCTGTGCTCGATAGCAGAGACTTTCTGGAGATAAAACCTCAATGCAGAGGAATAGATTTTCTCCATCCTCCCCATCCACCTATATAGCCATCCATCCTACATTTGTTGAGTACCTCCTCTGAACCCAAATGATGGAATTTCAGGCAGAAAAAGACCTGAGAGTTTAACTACGAAGGAATCACGCCAGAAGGGAAGTCCTGACTCCGCCTACCACAGAAGGAAGCATCTGGGATGTCCAGGGGCAGGTGAGACAGGGCGATTGCTGACCTCACTGGGGCCTCTACCTCTTCCAGGCTCTACCACAGAGCCTGAGATCTCTGCTGGACAAGGAATCTCACGGTTTCTCCTCAAACAGGGCTAGTAGGGCTCCCGCTCTGTCCTCTCTCTCCCCATAAGAGGGAGGTCTAACAGGCCAGGAGAAAATGGTTGGGGTGGGGGATGGGGGCAGAGAGGTTTTCTACCTCAAGTCCCTCCTGCCTCCTCTCTCACTCCCACAGGCTGCAAACAGTTTGGGCACCAGGGGGCAGCATTGAGCTTTACACAGCCCAGGCGGGCCTGAGCCTTCAGCTTTCAGATGCACTGTCTCCAGGTCTTTCCCAGTCTAAACACAGATGGGAAAACTAGAGGCGGCGAGACCGAGATTGGCGAACATAGGAATAAGCTGGTGGTTTAAACTTTAGAAGATTATAAGACATAGGGGGCAGAATTCTATTTTTGTCTGAAATGAGCCTGGGGAAAGAGTGGCAGATACCAGCCCAAGGGGCCCAGTAAATGGGAAGCCTAGCCTCAGGCCAGATTTTCCTCCAGGCTGGGCTTTCTCTTGTTTCTCCGGAGCTGAAATTTGGGTCAACAACTGCCTTCCTCTGCAGCTCCAGCTCCAGTTCCTGTGCTGGCCTGTAACCTCTCACTACCTGCCAGCACCATCTTCAGCTGAAGTCACCCCCTGTCTGCGTGACTGTGGGCAGGTCATTGGCTTCCTCGGCGCCCTTTCCCATAGTGGCTGAGGCTGTGGGTGGGTGGGTGCGGATGGGATGTCCAGGGACAGGGCATCGCCTCCTTCTCCCCTTCCCACTCCTGTTACTTCCACTGCAGAAGGCTTGATCTGGGCACGCAGGTGTCCAGCTTCTGGCTCAGCCTCCTCCGGGGCAGTGGGGAAGTCTCCCAGCTTCTTTGAGACTGCTTTTTCTGTGAGATGGAAATGATTACATCTGCCACAGCCACAGGATGAGACCGATCCACAGAGGGTGACAGCCGGGTGGGAGAGGACTCGAGGTCCCCTCCCCAGCCTGGGAGTCATTGCTGAGTGTCCAGCGTTCACCAGGAAGAGCCAGCTCCTGGAGGAGCCCGAAAGCAATAGGGTGGTGGGTCACTCCAGGGAGGGAATTTATTTATTTTATTTTATTTTATTTTTAAAGATTTTATTTATCTGACAGAGAGAGACACAGCGAGAGAGGGAACACAAGCAGGGGGAGTGGGAGAGGGAGAAGCAGGCTTCCCGCCG